CAAATGGGTTGCAGGAAATTACATTTGTTCACAAGGTGGCCTGTACAGGTAATCTAGGGTGCCTTTAGGGGCCTTTACCAAGTGGAACATCACAAGAAACTCGTTGTCTTACAGCCCGGTTTTATTGGTCCTCAGCCTTCTTTTTCCTGTATATTTTCTAACTGGCCAAAGTGGTGTGTAATAGAAACATGGCCCTGCTTGATAATAGCGCCGAATTTGGTCCAAACCCGTAATCGAATGCCAATACGATTTAAATGGGAGTACAGTGGTGATCCCTGCAGACAATAGGGCGTGGAAGCTGGGATTCAACCAGCGCAGCTTTTCCCACTACCGCTGGGCTCAGAACTGCATCACTGGTGGAAATGCTACCCCAGGTTGCGCTCCAGTCCTTTCCTTGTCACACGCCCTATGGTTTGCAGGGATCATGAGTGTAACCCAGTTCACGGGACTCCACATGAGCAAAGAGTTATGCTCTTGAGCTTCGAATTTTTGATCATCCATTGTGGTATCTCCTATTATTGCTTATAGGTCCGTGCGCTGATCGTCGCCACGCGACTCTACACCGGACGAGCTGTTGACGTGATTGCCTTCTCTCTAGGTGTTCCGGTATCTAGGAAAGCCATTCTCGGAGGTAGTGCCGTTTGAATTTTCGAGTATATTCCAAGGGATACTGTATTTTGGCTTTCCTGCCTACGTTTTGTTGTAGACCCTCCTATATTTCATGTTCGTGGGTAGCTCGGCAACTGTCTTGAATTTCCGGTCTTGTAGTCGCATTAGGGACCATGAGGCCGAGAGAGAACAGTCACGCCTTTTCGATGAGCGGCTAAATAGCACAGTAGTGTGAGGAAGGTGGGCGGTGTAGAAATTTGGATGTTTGCGATTTTAGAAAAGCCGACTAAGTGCTCCGGGTCGGTTGATTGCTGCCAGCATCGTTACGAAAGAATGGGTCATTACATATGTACAGTCGTCATCCTTGCACTTGATAGGGGCGTGTCGGCGAGAAGGAGCGTGCACACTGTTTGAAGCCTTCTCAGCCTTTTCGTTGAAACGCGTATGCGACAAAAAGTGATAGAAAACGAGTAACACGAAGGATATAATACAGTAATGTCACTTCCTGGTTCAACGATTGGTGCAGTACGGGTGCGGGCGACCGCGCCGCACGCAGCCGCACTGACATTGACTATGAAGTGCAAGGATGGGCGACTGTAGTTTATTCGTCTTTCCCGACTTATTCAGCTTTCTACCTATCCAATGACGCCTATTCCCTTATGGATCGCCCCGGTCTTTTGAGGGGACGCTCCGCGGTTAGTCGAGAAGTCCCTCTCCTTCTGGGAGCAAGTAAGCTGGTGTGCAGTGATAGCAGTGTTTTGCGCCACTCTCGTGCTAGACCTTGGCATCCCCATTTCGGCCCCTAATACGCAATTTGGAGGCGGAGGTGGTGCAGTGGTAATGGCACGCTTGCCACGTGCACAGTCCGGACATCAAATTCCAAATTGGCTGCCGTCCCAGACACCAACCAAAGGCTTCTAATTTCCTTTGGGCATACAGACCTCGCATGGGGCAAATTATGAAGGGCGAAGGATTGGAATGAAGTGGCGGCCGTGATGCTGCATGCATATATGAGTACACATATGCAGCCGTACCTACGATAGCGGTTATTGGCAAGATGCCTAGGAAACTCGTCCAAAATTGATTACTAACACCGTGAGAACGGAGGCTCTTTCTTCGCAGGATTTTGACCGTTTCACTCCGTTCTTTCGCCATTTCCCCACTATACAGCGCCCTACTAGCATTTTAGGCTAAGTAGGAAACCATCGTGCCAACTGCCTTTAAGGCCACTACGTTCTGACTGGAGCTTTAAAATGCTTACCGCATATCCCGCAAAAATGGATTAATCAAGAAGACTTTATCTTATCATTAATCCCTTATATACTCAATTCCTGACCAGAGGCTCTGGTTGCTGGAGGCGGGTGGTTGTAGCCAGCTTCACTGGTGGAAGGGCTGCGAGAGGGCTTCCACTCAACCCTTCCACCACTGACTACCCAGCCCTTCCACCACTGATCCCCGACAATGCTCATCCGCACCAGTGCCTACTGTCTTTGAAGACAGTCCTCCGCCTGAATAATTCCTAGTCGTCTTTTCTTGCACAAATAGTCTCGTCCCTGGCCTCCGAGATTTTCTTACCTTCGCAGCCTCTCAGTGGAGAAGCCGGCTGCGCCTCTCAGTTCGCCTCTGCCAGTTTGGAGGGCCCGCCTGGGCTGTTCGCGCACACCACAACTTAAACAGCGAACTCGTAATGTAAGGGTGTCAGCTAGTCCTCAGGGTGTTCTCCATGATTTTCCTTGCATTTCTTTTTTCCTTGCGAGTCGGCACCGATTATAGTTCTGTAACTGAATGTCACTATCCCGGCAGTACACAATCGGGGTTCGTCTTTGAGTCGCAATCTCCGAGTAGTGCCTTCTGTGAACTTTGAACTCTTTCTCACATCACCGCCATCACTGGCATACATACTCAGACACTTATGGCTCCGCTCCCTGCAAGTTCCGTAGAAGCGAGCATTCGAATTGATCATATTTCGGCTGTCCCTTCTCAGTGTAAAAGCGCAGCTTGGGCAAATGGTGGACATTCGTTAAGCTGTTGTTCGGGCAGGTTATTGTGTGGACTCCGGCGAGTATCTTGGTGGCCCGCTAACTAAATTCATCGACACCTTCGTTGGAGTCGCTGGACCAAATCACGGTATCACTCTGCAGGTCAGCGATCTCATTCATAAGCTACAAGATACCGTGTATTCGAGTTTTATTGCATTGTCTGCCTTTCTGGAAATTTGCTTATTCAGGATACTGGAATGTGTGCTTGAAAAGTGTCACTATTTCAGGTAGTGGGCTCGCCATAACCCAAGGATGCGTACTCGAGTGTGGCATACTGTGTGGCAATCAAGTGAACCGGTCTCGTAATACAGGTTTTAATGCAAGCGAGAGCGAATTTCTTCAGGTCCTCTTGATTTTCAAAAATACGTTTGAACAGGCGCATACTCGAGTTCTCAACATATCTTTGCAGGATATAAATCGTCAAGTGGGATATGAAGGAAAACACATTTTCTCCATCCACTCTAAAAAAGACCAAGTTGTTGGCCATATCGTTTGTGGAAAGGTTAGTTCACTAGTTATAAGGATGGAAAGAAACTTTTGTCACTGGTGTGATTTTTTTTCTCTTCTTTTATTACTCACTCATCTTACAATAGGAATTAACTAAAGCAGCGACCTATGAAAATGCAAGAGGTTATGCGGGAAAATAGTGTTGTCCGGAGAGGATAACTATGTGCCCAGCTCCGCCGCGGAAAGTTGTAAGTTAAAGGCATTGGGGCGCAATGTTCCATCAGTAGTTCATCCTTTTTCCAGTGACTCCACCTCCAGACTCCGCCTTCAAAGATGGCCTTCTAGTCGAAAGTAATGTTCCCGGGGCAAAATTCCTCTTGTAGCCATCAATCGTTTTTATTTAGTGGAAATCAGCTGACGGCATTGTTCGCAAGCGCACACAGCTAGTCTTTTTGGTTTTTCACCTCTAACAGTTGTTTGAGGCTAGAGGAGGCCTGACGAATGCGTTTTCCAACGTTCCCTTCGGCATTTTCTCTTCATAGATGGTTCACTTGGCGAATTTTCTTCCACATTTCTGCAAAATCACCTAGGCTTTCTACCCTGGACCGTGCCTTTAATAGTATTAGGGTGTCCGGAAAGTTTTGAAGTAAATCTCGCGAACCAGTTCATTTACCATTTATCAACAACAATAAGATTACCTTGCGTAAAGGAGCTAGAACTAAGCGACTGCTGAGAATGAGGGAGCGTACGCAACATCCAAGCTGAACTTCCATGTAAGAGACCGGCTGATCTCCTAGTATAGATAATTCTGAAGCGCGTTTTATTCAGCATCGGATAGCTGGTTGCCTCAATTCCGCAGATTCGACCGATAAAGAGGAGCGAGAATGGTGAAGACTCATTCCCGATTTGACCGATAACAGGGCGAGAATGGTGAAGATGAAGTAAAAGGCATTGAGAGTCGCGCACGATCGTACATGTTTCAGGTTATGTCAACTCATAAAAAGAAAGCAGAATAATACCATCCAGCATTAAAATGAGCTACAGGCATTTCTACTATTCACGAGTACTCGTATATGACTCTGTTGGGGCATATCGCGTAAACCTAAACTGAAAGTGGAATTTCCTCCAAAACTTTCCGTACGCACCTATTTAGGGTGTCGCCACAAGTTTCGTTGGCCATTCGTTTTTGCAAGCCTATGAAGATAACTTCATCAAGTCGAAACTTACCAGGTGCGCTGATGATATATCTCCATGGGCATACCGCACCAGACCTTTCGCCAACGAATGGCGGGTGAGAGGCGATCCATCCTTTTCAAGGTAAGCCGGCCAGCCGCGACTCGCCCAAGTCCTCGATCACGTCCTCGAGGTCGCGCTCGTTCTTCAGCTGTTTTCCGTCCAGGAAGTTTCGCATGGACCGGAAGATGTGGTAATCGCATAGACTGATGTCCGGGCTATATGGTGGATGCGTGAACGTCTTGATGCCCAGCCTGTCCAGGACGGCCTGAGTATCT